AGCTTCTGTGTCTCTTGGTCTTAGTAAAGTGGACAAATGTAATAGGTATACTGTGGGGCCCATTGGCATAGTCTGCCTGGTCACCTGAGCCGGGTGCTCCAGGTGTGTCCCTTGTGTGGGCTGTGTGTGTCTTCCTATTGTAGTTGAGCCTTGGTTACTGTTTGCATGTCAATGGGAGGAATTGACTCTCAGGCTGATTGGTTGTGATGACTGGCCATGACTATAGTGGAGGAGCTGTTGTGCAGGGGCTGACCCTATTGGAGTGGGATTTGCTTTAGCAGGGCTCTGGTGCCTGCTGAGCTGTCCTTTGGGTGTGTTGTTTGTGAAGGTGGTTGGATGGTGCTCTGGTGTGGTCTGAAGCTGACCACCAGGTGTGTTGGTTCTGGGGCCTCTTGGGAGGGGTTCTGATGCACACCAACATCAGCCACTCCCTGTGCCCTGCCCGGGGCCACTTGGTATGGACAACACAGTGATCTGAAGATGGTTGCCACTTGTTCTGGGCTTGGATGTGCCTGGGAAAGGCTAAGCTGCAAACCGAGGCCAGCTGCCCATAGTGCCAGGCTTGGGGCTGCTTAGCAAGAGGTACAGGGCAGGCCAAGATAAGATGCTGCTTGTTTGGGGTTTGCAAAACTTTGAGAAATTTTTGGAAAATCCACAACATGAGGCAAGATAGGCCAGCCGTATGTATGGAAAAGCCACTGGAAGTGGCTTGGGTGGGCCCACAAGTTGGGTGGGATGGGAGTCTCAGGGAACCACCAGGGTGGGGCGAATGAATGGTGTTAGCCAGGTTGATGGAGACTCAGATATGGCACCTGCCTGTGTCTGCAGGTTAGGCTGTGGGGGAGCTCAACAAAGGAAGTCTTACTATGCAAGGTGGCTTCTTCTGTATATTCTTAGCTGTAGGACTTCTGTTCAGCTAGACCTCAGGTGGTTCTCACTTATGGTTGTTCTGTAGTTTCATTGTCATTTTGAGGTGGTCATGGGAGGAGGCAAGCACAGTGTTTACCTACTCCACCATCTTGATTGGAACTTCAGCAGGATTTTTTTGTAGGTGTAGACAAGCTGATTCTAAAATTTATGTGGAGGAATAGCTAAAATATTTTGGGGAAAAAAAACAAAGTTGGAGGAATCACACTACCCAATTGTAAGACTCACTATAAAGACAAAATAATTAAGATAAGATATGATATTGGCAAAGGGATAGACATATAGATCAATGGAACAGAGTAGAGTCTAGAAATAGACCCACAAAGTATGGCTATTTGATCATTGACAAAAGTGTAAAAACAATTCACTGGAGGATTGTCTGCTTTTAAAATGGTGTTGAAAATACAACAAAAAAATTAACCTTAACCTAAACTTCACACCTTATATAAGGATTAACTTAAAATAGATCATAGATCTTAATGTAAAACATAAAACTATAAGACTTTTAGAATAAAACAAACAAGAAAATCTTTGTGACCTGGAGGTTAGGTGAAGAGTTCTTATATATGATAGGAAAAGAACAATCTATAAAAGAAAAAGAAATTGATAAATTGGACTTCATCAAAATTAAAACCTTTTACTCTGCCAAAGATACTGTCAAGAGAATGAATACATAAGTTGTAGATGGAGAAAAATATTTTCAAATCATGTATCTGACAAAGGACTTGTATCCAGAATATATAAAGAATTCTCAAAAATTAACAAGAAAAAAACAAAAATTCCAATTAAAAAACAGACAAAGTGCTTGAACAGGTACTTCACTGAAGAGAATATAAGGTTAGCAAATAAGAACATGAAAAGATATTCAACCTCATTAGCCATCAGGAAAATGCAAATTAAACCCATAATGAGATACTACTTAGAATGGCGAAAATAAAAGATACTAAAAACTAGGCTTCATCAAAATAAAAAAAAATTGCCCTTTACTTTGTTAAGAGGATGGAAAGATAGGCTACAGACTGGAAGAAAACATTTGCAAAACACAAAAGATAGAGGAGGAGTATCTAAAACATATAAATAACTCTCAAAACTCAACAGTAAAAGTACATACAATCCAACCAGAAAATGAGCAAAAGACAAGAAGAGCCACTCATTAAAATACGTAGATGGAAAATTCGCTATGAAAAGATGTTAAAACATCAATAGCCATTAGTGAAATGCAAACTGAAGCCACAATGAGATCTGACTACACACCTATCAGAATGGCTAAAATAAATAGTAGTGACAACACCAAATGCTAGTGAGGATGCTGAGCAACTGGATCACTCCTAGACTGCTGGTACGAATGTAAAATGATACAACCACTCTGGAAAACAGCTTGGCACTTCCTTAAAAAACTAAACATGGGGCCAGCCGAGTGGTGCGATGGTTAAGAACTGGCTTGAGATGCCAGAGGGCCCCGGTTCGGATCTCACATATGAGGGCCAGTGACACTGCCCTCTACAACTAAGATGCTGAACAACAGCTCAGCTTGGAGCTGGGCTGCCGTGAGTCACTGGCGACGGCGTAGGCTGCAGCCCCTGTGGCAGTGGGTTGCCATGGGCTACCGTGTGTAGCCAGCAGCCAG